ACTTTCCATCAAAGGAAGAAATTCCTAAGTGATGTGAAACATTACTATTGGGATGAACCATATCTGTTCAAACATTGTGCCGACGGAATTATTAGAAGATGCATCCCCGATGAGGAAATTATGTCTGTTTTGAACCATTGCCACAACCTTCCTTGTGGTGGCCACCATGGTCCGGATCGGACAGCGGCGAAGGTGCTCCAATGTGGTTTTTTTTGGCCAACTCTATTCAAAGATGCAAGGAGTTATGTGAAAGCTTGTGACCGATGTCAAAGAACCGGAAATCTTAGCCGAAGGAATGAAATGCCTCAAAATATGATCCTTGTGGTTGAGCTCTTTGATGTATGGGGATTGGATTTCATGGGACCTTTCCCTAAATCATACGGGAAAAGCTATATCCTTGTAGCAGTAGACTACGTCTCCAAGTGGATGGAGGCAATAGCTCTACCCGACAACACAAGCAAAAGTGTGGGGGAATTCGTGAAGAAAAACATTTTTTCACGTTTTGGTGTGCCCCGTACCATCATAAGTGACAATGGCACACATTTCAAGAATGCCCATTTTTCTGGCTTGCTAAAGAAATATGGGTGCAATTTCCGAACCGGGGCAGCCTATCATCCACAAACCAATGGGCAAGTTGAAGTATCCAATCGAGAGATTAAATCAATTCTAGAGAAAACAGTCACCACCTCTAGAAAAGATTGGGCATTAAAATTAGATGATGCGCTATGGGCATACCAGACGGCTTACAAAACACCGTTGGGTATGTCGCCATACCGGCTTGTTTATGGGAAGTCATGCCATCTTCCCGTAGAACTTGAACACAAAGCACAGTGGGCACTCTCCAAGCTAAATCTTGAGCCTGCACTCTCAAGGGAGAGGAGGATGTTCCAAATGGCAGAACTTGAAGAACTCCGAAGGGATGCATATGAGAATTCCCGCATCTACAAGGAAAGGGCAAAAGCTTGGCATGACAAAAACATCAACCGAAGGGATTTCTACGTCGGCCAAAAGGTACTACTCTTCAACTCTAGACTTCGCCTTTTTCCCGGAAAGCTAAAAACCCGATGGTCGGGACCATTCACAATCACTGAGGTCCGACCATACGGCTCAATGATGATTCAAAATGGTGATCAAACACCATTTCTTGTAAATGGTCACCGACTTAAGCCATAAATGGAGTACCATAACACCTTGGCAACCACCACTTGCCAATTGAAGGACTAAAAAGGTACGTTGCGTCCGGCCTATGACGTTAAATTGAGCGCTAATTGGGAGGCAACCCAACAACAACAAAAAAATTCAATTATAAATAAGGAAGTTTGGTCATGCACATTCATTTTTATTTATAAATTGAATAAAAATCAATTATAAATAAATCTGTTTACAAACATTCACGTTTATTTATAATTGAAACAAAAAAACAAAAAAAATATAAAATTTTCAACGACCGGCGCCGGTCGGCCACATAACCGGCGCCGTACGATTCCAGAGACTTTAGGATGTTGGCGTTCACACATAACCGGCGCCGGACACCCTACAACCGGCGCCGGTCGGGCCGGTTAAAATCAGAAACAGGTCGCATTTCAGACCTCATTTTCGAACCCTTCCCCCAAACTTTGAGAGCCCTTCGCCGGAAAACACCCCCAAACGCCCAAATCCGCCCGCCAAAGCCAAAAAAACACTCTTAGGAGCTCGGATTCAACATCAAACATCACTTCTCAATCCCTTTGGCCCCTCTTATCATGATGGACATGAAGAGCGTAGTCAAGACCAAAAGAGGTGACAAAAATTTCATTTACCCTCTTTTACTCACTATGATCTTCAGGAGCTTCGGCGTTGACCTTGAAAATGAAGAGGTGGAGTACACGACCTGATCCCAAGTACTAAATGCAAACACTATGGTCGCTCTCCACTACAAAAAGGTGGGGAACACGTGGATACGAAAGGAGGAAGGGGATGACGAGGAGCAAGAAGTTGGAGATGAAGAGATGGGTGAAGCCCAACCACAACCGGCAGCCCGGCCACGGCGGACCATGACACAAAGCCTTGATTATCTAATCAACTCCATGGACCGGATGCACACAAGAATGGATACCTACGAGACTCGGCAAGAAGAACTTTACAACCGTTTCGACACCTTTGAGACACGTCAAGCGCAAATGGCGGAGCAATTCCAGGGGATTGACCAAAGGTTTGGGGACTTCACCCAACACTACTATAACCAATACGGGTATCCCCCTCCCGATCCACATCATTAAGTACCCCTTTGTTGTTATTTTCTAACACTCCTCTCCTCTAAACACACTTAATCGTGGATATTATTGGAAGTGTTTGTTTATTATGCATCATACATTGGGACAATGTATCTTAAGTGTGGGGGGGTGCATCTCATGGTGGTTAAACAAATTTTTTGTGCAAAATATTTTTGTTTTTAGGAAAGTAAAAAAATTATTATATCTCTCTTTTTAATAGGCATTCGGTTGAGAAAGTTTTTTTTTTATTATTACACACAAAACTATCATTTTTTTTAGACTTATTACACTACTTTTTACTCTTGAAAATAACTCCCAAAAAAAGAAAAAAAAAACCTTGTGACTAGAAAACATCATCCTCTTTCACTTCCAAATATGGTCAAACAAAAAAAATTCATCTCAAATATTCAAGAACCATTTTGGAGTAGAAAACATCCTCATTTCTCATCAAATAATTTGGGACTACCAAAATGACCTTCAGTAAATACTTGTTGAGAACCATTCCAAATGAGTTATAAAAAAAAAGAGAATAGCTCATGGTCTCTTTCAAGAATCCCAATTGATCCATTTCTATACTGAAAAGTCAAAAACTCCCAAACGAAAACCGTTCTACACATCCAAAAAAAAAAAAAAACCCCAGTCACAATCCACTCACCAATTCAAGAGTATTAGTAATTTTTCTAAAATCTAATGATATTTTTTGTGTGTGTAATAAAAAAAAAAAGGGGGGGTTTTGGACCGAGAATGATAAAAGAGTTATATACTTTTTTTTTTACCTCTCTTGAAATTGAAAATATTTTTGTGCATATATATTTGTCAAACTAACCAAGGGATCCAAGACTGAAGATTTGCTCGAGGACTAGCAACGCTCAAGTGTGGGGGAATTTGATAAGCACAATAATTACTTATGTTTTACATAGGTAATTATATTTATCCGCACAAAAATATAGAGCGAAAACAGGTAAATATTCCAAAGTGTTCAAAAATGTGGAATATGGCTAGGAGCAACAAAAAAGGAGTCAAAAGTCAAAAGGGATCGAAAATCGGCACTTCTGGATAAATCGGAGGCACGAGGTTGAGAAGAAAAAGGAAGTAAACAATTTGGCGCAGTAACCGGCGCCGGACACACTCCAACCGGCGCCGGTTGGATTTTATTTTCCGAAAAAAATACACATGACCGGCGCCGGTCAGGCCAGAACCGGCGCCGGTTGGGTCGGATTCTGCTAAAAACACAGCAACGTGCTAGACGATTTTTGATGGGAAAACTTCATCTTCCTCAATGCTAATCAAATATTGCTTCCATATCTGATTGTTGGGTTCGAATAGACTAAAAGATGCCAATCTTTAGCCTATATAAACCCCTCACTTCATCATGCAAATACATTCCATTCCATAGATTAATTCTAGTTTTTTATATTTTGTTCTTGTATTTGTTCTTCAAGTTCTTTGGAGAAGAAATCATTTCTCTCCTCTACAATTGGTTCTAGGTAATATTTCTTGTATGTTATTGTATTTCCTTGTTCTTAGTTACACTTTTGTAATTAATATGAGCATTAGTAGCTAATTTCTTAGCTAAGGCTAGAGATGAACTTCTATGCCCACTAGGTGTTTGATAAAAGTTCTAAACCAATAAATTGTGATTTATCCTTTATATATTGATTGTTTATGACTATGGTGTACAACATAGAAGTATGTTAAATTTAGTTTATACTTTCAATTAACGTTGAAGTCTAAACTATGAACACTAAAGGATAAACATATATAGTACCGAGAATAGAAATATATCCGGTCTTATATGATACAGGTGTGATGTCTTGATATTCAACGGGGTTTTCGGTAGATGAATGTAAGCCGTAACGGGACTTACACGTAACGAAAACCACGCTCTCGCTGCCTTAACCGGAGTTGAGAATATATTAGCGACATCGTATTCATAATTATTGGTAAAGAACTAATATTCAACCCTATTAAAGCATTTAAGTGATTCCCGAAGCCTTAGTTGTTGTTATCATTTATCTTAAACTTAAAATTAGTTAACGATTATCTTCTTAAACAAAAAGTGAAAAGCCAAAAATATAAAACACAAATCAAAATCCTTGCACTTTACTCATTTCTTCATTTAAAGTTATCTACTCACGGACTAAATTAAACAACGTTTCCTTGTGGATTCGACCCGGTATTTTACCGGAATTTATTACTATATCGGCACTTGTACACTTGCAAGTTTAGCCCGGTCACACATATTATATTCATCTGGGCTTAGTTAATATATATGGTGGTGGATATCCTAATTAGGCCATGACAAAGGCATAGGGTTGACCGGTCGGTCAACGAGACCCAATTATCGGTATCGGCAATTTATCAAATAACAGCCCAAAAAGGGATTTCGGAGACTTCTAAATTAAATTTGGGGAATGCATATTCATTATAAGGTCCAATAAGGATTGGGAACAAGTGTTATATTTTATTTGACCCGATAAAATAAAATGTAATTTAAAACAGTCCGGAAAATACAACTTTCGGGACCGATTGTACACTCGGGTACACAAATGGTTGACCTCCCACATAAGTGGGGGCCAACCCACGTTTTTAGTCTTGCAAATGGCAAGAGGAGCCGCACAAGAGCATGGGGAAACAAGAAGGAAATTGATTGGGAGACCAATCAATATGAGGGTGGGTCCTTGGCCAAAATATTATTGTGAGAAATGCCAAAAAAGCATTCTCAATCACCCCAACTCATATAGCGCGGCCAACCTACTCAAAGAAGAGAGATAAGGTCTGCAAAACTCCATTGTTACCATCCATACACGCACCAAGAACAAGGGAGGAAGAAGGAAGGAAAAAGAGAAGATAAAAGACGGGTTTTGATGGAAAAAACTTGTGATTAATAAGGTAATGACTTTATTAACTCCATTTCTTCTCCTTAATCATATTTCATCCTCCTAGGATAGTTCTACACGTTCAAGGGTGTGGAAGGGGGTTTGAAAGGAACTTATTAGTCCAAGATCAGGCTTAGAAAACAAAGTAGACGGGTTTGTTGGAATATAACCTTTTAGAGGTTATTTGTGTTGATATGGCTTTTATGATGATAAAACCTTGTTATTAACTTGTATAAGGTATTACAAGAACTTTCACGGAGTCGAAAGGGTCGCTGGAGTTGTCGCCGGAGTTCGTTGAAGTTCACCAGAGTTGTCGTCGGAGTTCGTTGAAATTCGCCGGAGTTTCGCCATAGCTCAATAAGGGAGGCTAGAACTTCATAAGCTTCGTTTAAGGTGAGAAGACGACATTATGCTTTATAAATTTTGCATTAGGCATGAGATTACCTAAAGTAATCAGGAATATGTTTTATGGAATGATTAAATATGATCAAGTATTTGCTTATACCATATATGATTACATACAAAATATAGTTGAAAAGCATGTTATATATGTTTGATGATTAAAAATGTGATATATTATTATGTATGATGTCCCAGGGATCCAAAATGGTATTTTCATATTAAGGACGTCAAGAAGTACATGTGTGTAAAATTTCACGCTAATCGGACTTTGTTTGGGCGGTCAAACGGGCGTTGACCGCCAAACCAACTGTTATACCCGACCGGGTATTGGCAAATACCCGACCGGGTATGTGCTGAAAAACTATCCCAGGGTCGCTGCCTCCTATACCCGATCGGGTATGGGTAGGTACTCGATCGGTTATGCATTGAAAATTTGCCCCCGGGGGGCTACTGTCTCCTATACCCGACCGAGTAAAGGTAGATACGCGATCGAGTATTGGGTTTCACACCCAACGGTCAGTTTTGAATGAGTATAACGAGGGGCATTCGGGTGAGAACTGTCCACGTTGATTACTAAGGAATATTTTACGACTATAGGGCTAGGTATTGTCCATAGTCGAAGGAATGAAACGTTAGCCACATCCAGGTTAGGATTTGGTAGAGCATAGACCGGGGATTGAGTACCCTTGGACGGTAAATGATCCAGAATACTCTAGGTGGGGTCGAGTACCCTTGGACGTTAAATGATCCAGAATACTCCAGGTGGGGTCGAGTACCCTTGTACGTTAAATGATCCTAAAACACTCGGTAGTATGAATCGAAGGTAGACCATAGCTTGTGAGCTAGGCATCCGGTAAAGGAGTGAGTAAAGTCAGGTAAGAACTTTATCTCTAAAAGACTCTTTAAAGGAAATAACCCACGCGTTGAGTATTTTACAAATATATATATATATATATATAGTATGTATCATCGGGTGGATGAGTCACATCTAAATATATGTATCACCCTATTTTTTGGGTCTTGTGTCTGAAACATTAGTTATTCCCCATATAGCCTGCTTGTCACTAGTACTTCTATGGAGTACTGACGCCTTCGGGGGCCCTCACATTTTTTCAGGTTAAGGCTAGAGTCCTTCTACCTGCATCTTTGTCTAGGGTGATTGATCAAGGAGGAAGACATGGTTCGTGCTTCCATTCTTATTTGAAATTTATAAACTGCTCATGGATATTTTCAAACAATGTTTTCTATTAAAACATTTGGGGGCCTGCGAGCCCGTGTTTGCCACGTGTGGCTAAGTATCAAACATTCTACTTCCTCATTTGTTTGATTATGATATTGATGTTGATTGAATGTGTTTACTAATCGGTTTGGAAATAGAATCTATCGGACGCCTTGTATGATTCAATAAGGATGAACTAAGGTTGTTCTTATAGGGTTGTACGGCGGTTGTCTACGTGGCTCGGATGCGGTCCGGGGCGTGACAATTAAATGGTATCAGAGCCATCGATTTCTAAACAATATAATTAACCTCTCAATATTTTCATCATCAAAAAGTTTTGAACAAAACCATGAGCAAAAGTTTTTGTACCCAAGGAACCGTTGGAAACCAAGTTATTGACCTCTTATTGCTAAGACGACACCCTTAACAGTTTGTTGGCCATAATGTTGGGCCAAGTGGGGTCTTTCGTACTAATCCGTCAATTGACATTGAAACGAGTCTAATGACTCATTCCTTATTTCTTTCAGAAAATGGAGGGTGGACGCAGGATTACTAGGAGAAACCCAACGGGTCGTGCACCGGGGGCCACCGGTTATGTCACATGGGCAGAATCACAGACCTCTAGGGGTAGAGGCCGGGGCCAAGGCCGAGGCAGGGGTCGTGGGCGTTCCACAACGCCGACGGCAAGTTGCACGCGTGTTGGTTCGGTGCACCCGTCTTGGGCCACCGAATCGGACGACTTCACCTATGCTCCAAGCACGGAGCAAGAGGAGACCCCGTACAACGGGGAGGACTTTGAAGAAGAAGATGAGGATCCTCATTATGACCGTATGAGTGAGGTACTAGAATGGTACCTCGAGAACAAGGCAAAGAGAGATCAGCGGCGCCAAGCTAGACAGGCTAGGCAGGCCATGGGACAGGGAAGTCGGGGAGCTTCTAGTGCTCCATCTGGAGCATTTGGAGGAGACACGATGGTACGTATCTCCAAGTACCTCAAAGAGGCTAGGGCCTTGGGGTGCAAATCGTTTGATGGCAAGAGCGATATATCTGAGGCCGCTGACTGGATTAAGAAGCTGAATGATGCTTCTAGGGATATGCAGATTGGACTCGACGTGAAGTTGAGGGTTGCCACCAGGCTACTAGACGGGGTAGCTGCTGTATGGTGGGAAGGCGTGGAAGGAAAGTTCCGCGGCGAAGCCACTTGGGAGAAATTCGAAGTGGAATTCTATAATCAGTACTACTCCGAATTTGAAATAAACCTCAAAAGAAGAGAGTACACGAATTTGAAACAGGAGGATGGTTACTCAGTGAGGCAATTGGAACAGAGGTTCCGGGACTTGGCACGATTCATACCAGAATACTCTTTGGATGAAAATCGTATGTCCAATCATTTTTGGGATGCCCTACAGTTGGACATCCGTGATCGGGCTACTTATCATCATCACATGACTTTTAGCCAAATTGTGGATCAAGGACTCCTTGGGGAAACCCAATGGAATGAAAGAAAGGCGAGAGACGCCGAGGAGGCAAAAAAGAGGAGATGGGGAAACTCTGGATCCCAAGACCATTCCCGGAAGCATCACGCCGGGGGTGGAATTTCATTTAGGGCGCCGGCACCACCGGCAAAGAAGAATAAGGGCCCAGAAGGGCATGGGGCCAACCCAGGGAGAGTATGGCCGCTGAGATGCCCAAATTGCGCCAAGAATCATGCAGGGAAGTGAAATGCACCACCCCGGTGTTACAAATGCGGTAGCACCAGCCACCTCAAACCCTCTTGCCCAATGTTGAATGGAGGAGGACCATCGGGGGCTATGGAAAGACCTACGACTAGTAGGGGACATGCAGGGTCGTCTCAGGGCGGCACAGGAAGGGGCGGACCCACGGCTAGCAACGTCGCGTCTGTTAACTAAGGGAGGACCCAAGCACGGGTGTATGCTATGACCGAGGCAGATACTCGGGCCAACCCGGACTCCATCGCAGGTAATCTCTTGATTTCACATGCGTTTTATCCATTTATTTGAAGTAAAGCCTTAAGAAAATATGTATGACCCGATCGGGTACCCCTATAGACCCGACCGGGTGTGGACTATGTTTTAGTTTTGAGGTGTGTACTCGTTCGGGCAAGCGTGGCAGGATCTTTCACTTTTGGCCCTTCGAGCAATACCCGATCGGGTATGGCTATATACTCGATCGGGTATGTGTAAAACTTTAGCTTCGAAGTGTGTACTCGATCGAGCGTTGATGACATGAAGCTTTTAGTTGAAAATTTCGAGTGATATCCAACCGGGTATAGGCATATACCCGACCGGGTATTGACAATTTGTTCGAGTTCGAGGCGTGTACTCGACCGGGCAAGGATAACAGGAAGTCTCTTTCGTAAGGGCTCGAGTAATACCCGACCGGGTATGGGGTCTTACCCGACCGGGTATAGGGCAGTCCTAGGCTGAAAATTTTCGTTCAATCCTTTTCAGTCGGGATGTTGAGTAGTGTGTCTTACATGACTTATATATGTAGGAACACTAAAGATCAATGGTAGACATGCTAGAATTCTCATCAACACCGGAGCACAACGTTCATTTATGAGCGAAGCGTTTGCCAAGGGATTGGACATGCCTTTGGCAGCGATGGTGCAAGTTGTGCAACCTTTGTTGGTCTCTACACCTTTGGGAGATGGCGTGGAAAGGAAACACTATTATCCTTCATGTAATGTGGAGATAGGGGAGCACCGTCTAACGGGTGACTTTGTGCCGTTAGATATGCTCGAGTTTGACGCTATACTTGGCATGGATTGACTTGAAAAACACCATGCAAAAGTAGATTGCTACACCAAGGTGTTAGAACTAAAAGATGGTGAGGGAAATACTCTATGCTTTGAGGAAGATAGAGGGAAATCCAATCCTTGTATCATACCGGCCATAAGGGCAAGACGTATGATGAGGAAAGGGTGTCAAGCTTACTTAGCCTATGTCATAGGCAAGGAAGGCAAGGGAAAGAGCCTCACAGAAGTGAGGGTGGTGAGTGAGAACCCAGAAGTTTTCCCTGAAGAACTCCCGGGACTCCCACCAGATCGAGAAATTGAGTTTGCAATTGAAGTAGAACCATACGTTAGAGAAGTATCAAACATACGTTAAGGGCAAGAACTATGCGTGGATGTGGTAATGGAATTAAGGATATTTTTACTTGAACTGGATTTTTCTTGTCTGGTCTGAACTGGTCTGATAAACAAATGATCTCTGTGTATTTTATAATTGTCCAAGTTTGGTTTGATGCGGTATGAACTGATCTGGTAAACGTATGGTCTCGGGATATTTTATAATTATTCAAGTCTGGTCAGATCTAATGTGAGACTAAAAATAGTCCAAGTAAAAACATCTTAATTCTACATGAGTTTAATGAGTTTAAGTACAAACTCCCCCCATCATATACAAATATGCACATTAATCACTCGGCTATTTTATAAAATGTCTCTTTCGTGATATACAAATTATGCGCCAAACCTAACCAAGAACAAATTTAACAGATTGGAAATACTAAACATTTTTCTTTTCTTTGGTTATTAAATTAAACTTGTTCTTGGAAACAGTTTAATGCATGATCAATTATAACACAATGGGATGTAAGGGTAAGGCCATTTTAAAATTAGAAACTAATGGGCAAAGTCATGAGAGAGTTTGACGTAGGCATGGACCGGTTCCGGTTCGGGCCCGGCCGAACCTCGGTTCAAGAAGGGGAGGCCCGGAACCGGCCCGGGTAACCCCCGGGTCTGGGCCGGGCCAGGCCGGGCCTCAATTCTATCTTCTTTTTTTTGGCTTTTCCTAGTTAACCCCCAACCCTCCCCCTCACCCCCAAACCAACCCTAACCATCTCAAATGGCCCAAAATACCCAACCCAACCCAAAAACTTAAAAAAATTCAAAAAAAAATAAAAAAAATTGGCCCGGCCCGGGCCCGAACCGGTTCACCTTTTGAAGGGCCCGAGCCTGAACCGCCATCCCACCGGGCCGGTTGGCCCGAACTGGGCCCGGAACCGGTTCACCGGGCCAGGCCCGCACAGTAGCGGGCCGGTCCGGTTCCGGGCCAGTTGGCCCGGCCCGAGTCCACCCCTAGTTTGACGCACTAAACTCCTATCTATGTCTATATACCATTATACCCACAAGGCCACAAAACATGTGCCACAGGTCATTGACAGACATAACTCTTATGGTTGTTTAACTGGTTTTCTCATCACGTACTGATGGCTCTTATTTTAATAAAAAATCATTTAAGATAAAAACAATCAAACCAGATAAAAAAACTCAAAATCAGTTCAGACCAAACACAACAAAAGGAAGCAAAGTGCAGCACATATTAAAAGGTTAATCCAGTGATCCGGGATAGAAAACCTATTGTAAAAATATCTCAGGATACTCAAACGTTGTTAAGGAAATACAGCAGATAGAATCCACAACATTTTATTAACAACTCTCTTTAAAGCATCCTAAAAGGCTAAACACAGCCGGCAGAGACATGTAATGGGCTGTTACTCATTCATAACAGGCTTGTTCTCGCTTGCTTTAGGTCTGTGTTCCTTTGGTTTTTGCTCTTCAGTTTTCCTGTGTAGATCAAAATAACACCATACACATTGGTTATTAACACATGGTTGTAGCTAAACTGGCTATAGACAGATGGGTAAAATTATATTTTTAAAAGACCATCTACTTCTCTGATTAGTTGCAACTTTGAGAGTAGTGACAAACATTTTGCTTCTCTGATTAATGCTCAGTTTATATTTGAGGTAATAAGGTTAAAACAAAATTCTCCCAAGTGAAACCCAATGCAAAGAAAGCAAAATGCACCAAGTTTGTGAGGATGTTTTGTTCATAAGAATAAAAACTCGCATAATCCAATTCACACTAGCTCTATCACAAATATTTCAGGTGAATTAAGCCCAGGGGAGCTCAAAGAAAATGCCCAACAGTATGTAGAATTTGAATCAGCAATTTCATCGAGTCCCATTTTCTTAATATATTAGAAAGTGAATATTCTCTTTAAGCTCAAGTGATTGTATGATTTATCATAAGAACGCCTATAATTTGACATTTTCAAGTAAGACTACAGAATAACATTACAAAAATGATTCTGTATGATCGATCGCTAACCCCATTAGGAAAACACACGAACCGGAAAGATAACTATAAATTTATAGTTTTCCGTAAAAAATCAGACGTAGGACAGAGTATACAAATTAAGGCGTAACGCAAAATAAATGGAAAGAAAATCATTGGAACCTCTTATCAGAGCCGCCTCCCTTCTGGCTGAGGAATGAACGGAAGAGCGGCGAGTTCACGTCGTAAATCATGGTCGTGAATCAGCTAACTTCTCCTCAACTTTGCTTCAGCAAAACCCTAATATCTGTACTACTCCCTCACGGTTAGTAAGTTTCAGGGCATTTGTGTAACTTTAGTGGATTGAGCCCAATTAAATTTGCTCATTGGACTTACAGAGTACATCATATATACTCTAGCCCAACTTCAAAGATTAGCTTTACTTTTGAATCATATATATATGTGGACCTTTTCGAAATCCAATGACCGTTTTACTAACAAAGAAAACTGAAAAAAGAAAAACAAAAAACATATTCACTGAAAAATTATTGAAAAATTAGACAAAAGAAAACAGGAAAATGTGTTTACTAAATCATTTTTCAAAACCAAATAAATGAGTCATGTCTCTATTTTTGCTTAATGAATCATTTTTGTACTATTATTCTGTAGTGTTACTTGAATATGCCAAATTAATGCCAGCATGCTCGACATTTTTCAAAACCAAATATATTTTTGCTTACTAAAACATGTTTTTACTGAGAAATGTGTTTTACTATTTTTCTAAATTTGAAATGTACGGACGATGCAATGCTTCTGCAATAGATTTGCCTACTTAAGTCTAGTTGTGAACCCGGTCCCGTTCAGATCCTGTCGACGTCCAGGTGGTCCTTGTCTGATCCGGTCCGATCAACGATCCGATGATCATTGTCTTCGTCCAACCTTTTTTAAAAATCATTTTCTCAAAATGAAAAATTTCAAAATGGCTGTTGAATTGTCAACCTATAGGAAAAAAAGAATTAGTCAAAATAGTTGTTGGGACCGACCGGTTTTGCTCCCAACTTTTCTGTAACCGAATCGGGTACCCTATTTAGGTTGTACCCAAGTCCGATTCTGTATCAGGATCGGGTGAAAAACATTGATGAAAATGGAGAATTAGGAAATCAAAATACAAAGTTGGAAAAGACTGAAAAAATTAAACATACAAATAGGAAAAAACAGAAGATTAAAAAACATTTCTATTACATGGCCCTAATATTTGACGAACAAAGAAAAAGAAATTGTTGTTGCAATAGAAGCCGGAACTCTGAAGCTGAAGCTCCTGGAGAGGGGAAACTATGGGCGCAGGTGTTGAAACTCCAGAAACTCTTACTTCTTCTTATGTTTCGCCTTCTCAATCTGAGAGTTGGAAGGAGCGGATTCTCATCCCTACTATACTCGCAGGTATTCTTCATCTTCTTCATTTTTCAGTAGCACGAAGTTTATTCAATATTTCTAATTCTGATATTCAATGTTGATTTTTTTTTCTATTTTAGGGATCGCTGGAGGAGGAGCTGGATTATTTTCAAAACATCGTAAAGTTCACGGCCTTGCTAATATTAGCGCTACTTATGCTTCCAATTTAGCCATCGTTACGGGTTGTTATTGTGGTAATTTTTTCCCATTCAATTGAAATTCGTCATTGAAATGTTCACATGTTTTTGCTTAAACTTGTTGAAACAATTGGTTTTAGATCGTGATTAATGAGTCCAGCTCACCCCTCCAGAATTAGATGGACCTGTTATGCCATTGTCATATATGTGGCCGGGGGGGGGGGGCATTATGCTCTTAATATGGACTGTTCATTCAGAAATAGATGGGCTGTTATTTCTGAGGAGTACAAGCTACTGTTTAGAAATTAGAACTATCAACTTTATGAATGAATGGATTTGATGAATACTGGCTACTTTGATGCTCTCCAGGGGCTCGTGAGTTTGTAAGAGCAAGTAGAACTGGAAAACCTGATGACTTGTTGAACTCAGCACTTGGAGGTGTTGGTAGTGGTGCTATTTTAGGAAGGCTTCAAGGTAAAACCGATAACTCTCTATATGGTACTACCTCCGTCCCCCTATAATTGTCCCATTTTTCCATTTTTGGATGTCCCTTTATTATTGTCTCATACCATATTTGGTAACATTTGTGTGGCTCTAATTCATTCTTACTTTATTTCCACTTTATCAACTCATTACCAACCACATAATTCCACTTTTCTTAAAAATCACACCACTCCCTTCCGTACCATTATTAGGGGGACGGAGGGAGTATATGATATTGTTAAGATACAACTGCAATGCTTAGTTCATATATCTGGAGGAGGTTTTCAGGGAGTCTCTTTGCAACTACTGTGTAAATTCTCTAACAGTCTTATTTAGTGCTCTTTGTTTGTTTGTCTGTCATGTTTTATAAGTTGGTCAGTTGTAGTATAATTGACCACCACTGCCCTTGTACCTTACTTGATCTTTCAATCACTTTTTCATGTAAAAAACTCAGTATCGTGTAGTGTATATCAGGTATGTTTGTCAGTTTGTGTGACCAGGCATGGGCGGCATGCTAGTGCTTCGACTTTGATGTGAGGATTATAAGAGGAGAAGGATGGAAGTATCATTAGTATATACTCGTATCTAAGTCTTTGTGTTTCTGAGATAGGAAACACATAAAATCTGTTTCCATCTGGATTGCCTAAAGATATTAGGGGTAATTTGAGTTTGCACCCCATATTATTGTCTAAATTGGACTTTGCACCCCGTTTTTAAAAATCTTTGTTTTTGCACCCTAACCCCATATGAAAAGACTAAAATGCCCCTCCATTAACAATTCTGTTGACCTTCGACATATTCCTGATTTAGGGCATTTTTGTCTTTTCATATGGGGATGGGGTGCAAAAACAAAGATTTTTAAAAACGGAGTGCAAAGTCCCATTTAGACAATAATATGGGGTGCAAACTCAAATTACTCCAAGATATTATTCCTGCTTGTGTGGTTCTGTCATTGTTTCCTGGAAAATCATTTTACAAGTTAAAATCAATTTCCCATTAATATAAGTAAATAAGTCTTGGCTCCAACCCCTTAGAAATGGATCGGCTGGTTTTGAAGGAAAATAAGGCCACTCCATAGGGGAAGCGAAATACAGTATGGTTGGGTGAAAGAGTGAGCCAAGCTCCCTCTTTTTTAATTTGGAAAGTAACACTAACACTGAGTCTCAGCTCTCAATGTGTCATTGCAGATACAACAACAACATCCAAGCCTTAATCCCAAAAGAATTTGGGGTCGGCTAACATGAATCGATCTATGATATCGATGCCAAAAAGAGAAGGCGGACAAGAAAAGGAAAAAAAAGTAAGATAAAATGAATAAAATAAAGATACATAAATATAAGATAACAATAACACAAGAATATAATCAAGATAAAAGAAAAATAAATAAAAGAGCATAAAAAAGCTAGAAGATAAAAATAACATAAGAATATAAAAAGATAAGGAAGATAAATGATAAAAGAAACAAGAGAGAAAAGGTAGACAAGACATCAATCGTCCACATGGATGTGCGCCCTCCACTTTGCTCTCTCCAAAGCCATACTCTCATCCAACCCAAGAAGACGCATATCAGTTCTGATTACTCTAATCCAAGTCTGTTTGGGTCTTCCCCTCCCTCTCTTCTCTGACTCTTCTCCCCACCCCTGAAGTCTATTTGTACCATATCAATGTGTCATTGCAGATATGGTACAAATATTCTCGTAGTACCTTGAAGACTTGTAGTCATGCCAAACTTGCTAATTAGTGTTCATGTTGTCCCAATTAGAAAATTGACCAAGAGAAACAAAGTGTTTTGTGCATCCACTGAAGAAATCATGAAAACCTTTATTAATCTGAGTCAGATAGTTTAGCATTTCGACCATCTGCACTTTTATGCTAATTATGGCCCATTTGGTAAGGGTTATTTGGATAAAATGGCCGAGACAAAGAGTCATTTCAGGCCAATAAGCAAGTCAAAAGCTATTTGTTGTGCTGATCAGCTGAATCACGCTATTTAGGATCGTTGTTGAACTAATAATCCATTTGAATGTTATGGTCAGGTGGAAAACATGGTGCTATTCGTTACTCTGTCATATTTGCTGTTGCGGGAACATCTGTTGATTTTGCCACTCTAAAATTGAAACCCATCTTGAGAAGATTCTACAACTCTGCAATTGACAGTAAAGACAGCTGGTTGAGGGTTCCGGAGTGGTCACCTATAAAAGTACTTGATGAAGATGCCCTTGCGGTAAAACGCGCACGTGAACAAGAAATCTACAAGAGAGTTCATAGTATTAGTAATTTGAACAAAGAAAAATCTTGAGACCAGACATTTTTTGTTATGTATACTGTCCAGTGTGCACTTCGTATTTTACTTGTGAGTTGGATAACATGATAGAGTCGATTCTTGCATGGGCAAATAATGTATTTGATGAAAAGAAGACTTACCCTTATATATCCTTGTGATTAGACCCTTTGCATCTTTGCGGGACCTTCCCATTGCGGGAACGTGTATGCGCTTCTTTGACTAAAGCAAAATTGCTTACAACTAGGACTAAAGCAATATTACTTACTATGCGCTTCTTTGTTATGAAACAGCAGTCAGTCCATGCAATTTTGGACGGGATTTTCACTATGGGTTATCCGGAAACAGTCTCTTTGTGCTTTAGTATATGGGTAAGACCGTGTACATCCGACCCCCTACCCCACCGTAGGTGGGAGCCTTTGTGGCACTGGGGTAAATGAAAATGATGATGATTATTACATTTTTACTTCTAAGGGCATCTTCATTCATGTTACTCAAATAAACTGATTTTTATGGATCATTGTTGTCACATCATCGCGTAAAAACTTAAATTATCTCAAAGCTTATTAAATTCCTCTTAACAATGATTTTTATTTACTTAAATTTTTATGGGGCATGTTATCACATGCAAAATTGTATGGGTTAAAGAGGGTGGCCGTTGCCCACCAAGTAATAGCACATACGCATAGGGGTGTGCACCGGTCCAGAACCGGACCGGAACCGGTTAGGACCGGACCGGAACCGGTTAGGATCAGAATCGGAATCATCATTTTCTATGGATCAAAGATCGGACCTGAATCTAACCGGCCCGGACCTGTCCGGACCTGAATTTTCCGATCCGATCCGGTCCGGTTTTGACCCTAATTGACCCGGTTTTAGAAAAAGACATATTCTCTTAGAGTGATCTTAACCGTCCCAAATTTGTTTTAGGAATAAGGCTTGAATGTTGTTGTTGTTTCAAACTATAATTTTATGTGCGAATATGCTAAATAGGCTAAATAATTGTTTAGCTATTTTATTAATTTTGAAATATAGTCATCAAAACTATTCAATCGTAACAATTAGTTTCCCGCAGTAATTAAAACTACAATCTTTTGTGTATATTAAAATGGAAAAATGTATTGTAGAGTAATAAAAACTCAATTACGTTCAAAAATATACTAGGTATAAACTACATGCACATCTGCAAATAAAGAAACAAATAAAAAGCAATTTGGAAAAATCAAACAAATATAAACTACGATCATAGTAGTGCACACCTGCACATAAATAAACAAATCTAAAACAACTTAGGAAATAATTAGACACCAAATATACACTCCATATATATTCGTTTTTATAATAAAAGACAAAAGTAAGCCATAAACATAATGACTAATCATACAGAACGAACTATATATTTTACGGAACAATAGTTTACCGGTCCATTCCGGTCCGAACATGTTTTTTCCGGGTTTGAGCCGGACCGGACCGGAACCCGGAATCTTGAAAAACTAAGGACCGAAACCCGGACCGGTTAATACCGATCCGATCCGGTTCATTCTGGTCCGGTTCTGGTCTAAAATACGGTCCGACCCGGTTAATGCACAGCCCTACATACGCAGACACGAAGTAGGCATTCACAATTTTTGAAGCCTTGGAAAATGAAAAAATTAGAAATAATCTCAAATTAATCTAGATTTGGAATTTGAATAATCTAACGTAATAATCTCATCTTCTCAATGATAATCCCAACAAAGATCTTCCACATCCTTGATGAATGAAAACATCCTTGGCAAATGCTTTCGGGCTATCATGAACACTTGGTTCAATCAAAGGGCTGGTTTCTAAAACCAACGGGTCAAGGGATAGGGTTTACCTCACTAGTACCAAATAAATCCACAAAACAAATTGACGAATAGGGAACGACTCTCTCGGGGGCCTTACTCGGGTGTCGAACAGCCAACTCAGAACTGGTACGAACAAGGGGAATTCGACTGTGGGCCTATCGGCCAAGGCTATATGCTCGTTGAATACATCAGTGTAGCGCGCGTGCGGCCCAGAACATCTAAGATCTCCAAATAAACTCAACAATGAGGATGCCCTAATATAATTAATTGCATCTTAATTCTCTTACTTAGGCTTAGGGCTGAGCATCGGGCGGGTTCGGGTCGGGCGGGTGGGTGAACCCACGACCCTTTCAGATTTCAGATGTGTAATAAGCCTATCCTACCCTATGTTTTTTACCCTGAATTTTTCGGGTTTTATTGAGCTTCGGGTAGGGCGGGTTCGGTTTGAGTATCGGGTTATGTCGGGTTCAAGTAACTCATACAAAATGTTCATAAACAAAATGTTCAAAGTAAAATATATGACAATTTGATACGAGTCTTTTAAACTTATAGAACAAAGTAAAGAACTTAAGACTAAAGTAATAAGCACATATTACAGCCTTGCAGTTTACAAGTTACAAAATGCTACATAATTCATTAACATCCAACATTCCAAAGTTCCAAGTACGCAACATTAATACATCCAACTATCCAAGACTTGAAGTTCAAGTGTTCCACAAGACCACAACTATTTTCCACAGCTTCAAGTTTCCACCTGCATACAAGTATGCAAAATTGCAAATGTAAAGCAATAGACATGTATAATAAGTCAGAGTAACTTGGATAAGTTAATGAAACAAACCAGAAAAATCACTGACTCAGAATGCTTGTTATCCTTCACCAGGAATATAGGGGCAACTGCTACAATTTCAGTTACAACTTACATAGTTACATGTTATGAACTGAAAGAGCTATACCAACCTTAAACCATACATTCAGTAATGTGTGGAAGCTTCATCATAGCCAATGAAAATTAATAGAAATGATATAGTCAAGGATTAATGGGATTATGAGTTACTTACACAAAACCTGAACAAGTCAGAGCAAGGGACACGGGTCCAGGGACATTTCACAGTTGCCAGAATGCTTTCCAGAATGACATAATCATACTCATAATACATTATACTGTCTTATACATACTCATAATACATTATACATAATCAGAGAGCTCAGAAGTCAGAATGCACATGGAAAAACAACCACATAATGCCAAATCAGAGAGTCATGTACTCATGTGCATACACATTCAAACCTAGCCAATCCCAAATCATATAGCCCTAAACCCTATATGCAGTAATGAGTGGAAGCTTAAGCATAGCCAATCCCAAATCATATAGCCAGTTACTGATGTACTAATGTTCATACACATTTAAAATCAAGCACATAATGAAACAAACCAGTTACAAACCATTTCATAGAGCTCAGAATGCTTTTTATCATTCATAAGCGGAAATAGGGGGCATTTGCTACAATTTCAGTTACAACTTACCATTTTATGAACTGAAAGAGCAACACCAACCCTAAACCCTAAATGCAGTAATGAGTGGAAGCTTTATCATAGCCACATAATGGCACAAATGTACAATAAAAATATAGAAAATGTACACTTAATGACACAATAGAGGATCCAGTAGGAGCAGCAGCTCCACCACCAACATTTCCATCCATTATTTCTATAACAAACAAAGAGAATTGTTAGAATTATGAAATATAAACAAGAAGATTCATAATAAGCAAATAATACATGAAAACACATAAAACTATAAAAGTTATACCTTTTCCCAGCCTCTCTACTTCATCAATGTTTTCTTCAACTCAGATAGGCTAGTGAGCCAATCTCAACCAATCTTGTGCACAAATAAGGGCAACACATGATATATTGATAGGTGTATACTAAGCTTCCACATGACACATCTCACTCTCAAAGTATACAGAGTAACAGAGGTGGACTTATAAGTGTATACAAATACATCACAAAATGTACAGATCTGGACTCATATAAAAAGTCACAACCACATCTCCACAGTAGTCAGTAGGCAACACACGAATATAGAATATATAGCTTCCACACTTCATTCATATTTCAAATAAACAGATTTGAAATTCCGAATGCATCATAAGAGTTGTACATATATACAAATATACTAATATACATCAACAATTAACAGGGACAACTGGATAACCAAACATTCGAACAGATCTGTACATGACTGAACTCAGAAATCAAGTGTGACGAACTTAACATGCAACTTTCACAAATATACGAACATCACACTACTAATCACAACTCAGAACATCCATGCATCATCAAGGACTAAACTTACCATAATATGAACATGTTTAACAGTTTAAGTATTTTATACCTCAACGGCTCGAAGAAGAATGATTGGGAATCAGTCTCAACTCTCAAGTCTCAAGTACTCACGCTGGGCTACTGGCTACAAGGAGATGAAGGCTTCCACTAGGTTAGAGACGGTAAAGCCTACAAGGAGATGAAGGCTTCCACTAGGTTGAGGACTACAGCCCTACAACGACGGCAACGGCGGCCGACGAAGTGAGAAGTCAGACGCTTTGAGAGTTAGAGAGAGAGAGTCTGAGAGTGTAATTGTGTAAGTTGGGGTTAACCGGTGAAGGGAAATAGGGATAAGGGAAAGGGAGGGGGGTTATTTTGAGTCATGGGTTATGGGTAATGGGCTTGGGGAGTTGGGCCTTGGGGAGTTGGGGGAACCGGGGAAGTGGGCTTAGGCTAGGTCGGGTTTTCGGACGGTTCGGGTAGGGATTAGGAGGACCCTACCCGCTGGGTTTCGGTCCAAACGGAAACGGGTTGGCAGGTCGGTTCGTGGGTTCGGGTCAGGTCAACCGACCCAATAACAAAAAATCGGGTTCACCCGGTCGGGTTCTTCGGGTAGGGTCGGTTTTGCTCAGCCCTACTTAGGCTAACCGCAATACAGTCCGTTTATAAATGTAATCTCACACCACTTTATACGTATGCATCCGATCAATTCATTTTCTCTGTAATCCAGCGCCGTCAATATATCTACTAAACATATTTTTTTAAGTAAATGCATAAATCCTTACTTTTTTATTACACATCATTTACGTAATAATTTTATTTTTACCAATAATTATTATTCGTAAAGTCAAACATTCCGATGTAAAAAATAAAAAATGTGAATTAATTTTTTGTAAGTGTAAAAAATGCCCACTTGAGTTTAATTTGGAATAAATTTAAAACTATTAATTGATTAAAAATATTGCTATATTATTAATTTATCATTTTATATACTATTAATTGTTTAATACTACGTAATAAATTTAAATCATTATTAATTCCCTCCTCCAAAAAGAAGCCAAGAAGCCAGGTCACCCCACCCTTTCTTCATTCGCACCTGCAAAAAGAAATCAAGAAGCCAGATCACCCCACCACCCTATTTCTACGCAACACAGTCCATTCCTTTGCTCCAGGCATGTTGCACGGTTGAGGGTCCATTCATTATTCCACTGTGCAAGTCACCTCCAGACCAGAGGCAATTGCCCGCCCAGGAGTCGCCCCCCATGGTTTTTCCTACTCCCTGTCACTCCTCCCTATACCAAATTTCTTCCCGGTTGCAGCTCTTTTGGGGTGAAAACCTCACATTTGGGGTTTTCACCCCTCCCATTGCGATCAGTCTTACCAAGGTCAGTTCGTTGGTGACGGGCAGTCCGGTGACGGTGGCATTAGAGCAGTAGGTCAGCCCCATTGACCAGCATGTCATTCTATCACCCTATAATAGTATTTTATTCAATTACAAAAAAAAATAGCTTCTATCTTTGGAAAATGACATTGTTTTGGTTGTGGAAAACTCCTATTTTTTTAAGATAGGCATTTTTTGAAGTGCCATGTTCCCAACTTACATGAACAGTGAATCTAGTTTTGCATTTATGGACATGTTGCACATAAATCAGTTTATTTGCTTTTGTTTGCTCTTTTAATACTAGTTGAACCTGTTTTGGGTAGAAGACTTTTGACGATGACAAGGGGTAGAAATAGTGGATTGGATTCCTCCAAACTCCTCACAGAAATCTCGAATGGGGTAATGGATTGGAGTAAAGTCTATCCCACGTAGCATAAGAGAGAGATGAAGATAAGATGATTATTTTAATTTGTGATCTTTAAGTGGGTGTATGAAAAATGAAATGGAAGAAAGATAAAAGTAAATTGTAGACAATGTCAATGACAATGTCCACAAATAGACTTTACACGGGAATCGAGGAGCAAAAGTAGATGAAAAGTGGGTTAGAAGTGATATAAAAAAATGGAAATTAAAATAAATATGAAGAAATGTAGGTCCTAACTCCTATACAAAAAATTTGTGAGATAAAAAATGAGACTCATGTGTATGAGTGTGTAAGAGAATAGACATCGCCATTGGTGATGCTCCTCATATTTCACTCTCCCATCTTGGAGAATTTGGTTAATTGATTTTTGGTTTCAATATGCTTTTTTTTTTGGAAATATGTTTTTAGTTCTGCAAATATAGTACATTTTGTTTTACCCCATAAAGCTGTTTTTTTTTTTCATCTCTGAAATTTATGTTGATAACAACCTCCATTTGAAAACAAAACAACTCTAACTAAAAGATTTCATCTAATTTTTTTTCATATTATTCAAAAAACATTTTAATTTTATTTTGTAGAAGGTTTATAATACATATTTTTTTGAACATGAATAATTAGTTTTATTTTCAAATAAAACCCTATCAAAAAATAATCCCTTAATATTTTTGTGTAATAAAAGTCAAGAGGTAATATTTGTGTCATTTTTTAATAATAACTTGATTGGTGAATTTAAAAAAAAAAATAGAAATTATGACAAGTTGTTTTTAAATAAATTTGTTTTTGGTAGGAAATATGACTAATAAGCATAAATACAATGTCTCCACCAAGTCTACCATACAGATTTGTGAAGAAGATATACAAGATGGGCAGGTCGCAATACAAAATGCCACCGAAACCTTTCCACATTTTCAGAAACACTGTAAAAGTATATACCACAAATACAATCACAAGGACATGGAACTATTCCAGTAGTAACATCTCAATTCTCAACATCAGATGTATTTAACTGGGACGGGCAGCAAAACTATATCTTTGATACTAACTAGTTAACCCGACGCAATCACCGGCAAACAAAGAAAAATAATCTTAAAAATCCTGTTTTCACCCTAATTTGAACTAAGCCATATATAGTAGTCACACAAGAATACAACTAGAGTTCTAAAACAATTACACCAGAATCTGTCAAGAGAGGAGTGAGACAAGAGAAACAAATTCCAACGCCACACGTCCCTTGGAACGTGTATTTATGACAAAATGTTCAGGATATTTTCTGAGCAGCATAAGCAACCCATACCATGGCTTTGAGATTGCTTCTGGAGTTGCATAGTCTTCAGAGGTCAGATATCTCCTCACCCGACTGTGATGCCACCTGTTCCCGAAGTGTTCTACCAACTGTTGACAAACAAAAAGTAAATGAGAGAAGGATCACACAATCATCAGAAACACTAGGAGGCTCTAAATCGTAGCAGGCCAGCTTTAGCATGCTCTAAATTATAGTATTTCACTCGCTCCTCCTCCCCTTATTTCCCTAGGTTTGAGATTGAGGATCATACCCTGGCTCTTATATGTTGTTGTGCTTATTCTAACTTTAAAAAACTAAATGCTGCATAGCAGTTATATTAGTTGGTAGTTTTATTATGCCAAATTGAAGAAATATTATATGAAAGTCGGGCGTACTCCCTAGTACCTAGTAACTCTCATTTAAGCATCAATAGAGCATTAAAAGTTATGGGAAAATAAATAGGGAAAAGTACGGAAAACGTACATGTGATTTGGGCCATTCAGATAGGAGCATGTGTTTCATTTTCTAACAAAGTGGGACATGTGTTTCAATTCCGTTATCATAGCAGGGGCTTGCGTCTAACGACGTTAGAAAAATTAACCCTGATTTTAAAAAGTCTCCGAAAAAATAAAAGAAAAATACTGGGAGATGCGTCTCGTCAAGGAGATCAACAAACTATCTTTATTTTTTGTTTCCAGCCACCATATCTCCAGAAAGTCCACCAGAAAGTTGATATTAGCGAATTTGTTTTTAAAAGATAATCCAAATAGAGCTGAAAAATCCAAAGAGAATGATAGTTTGTTGCTCTCCTCGATGAGGCGCACCTCCTAGTATTTTTCTTTTAATTTTTCGAAGACTTTTAAAAATCGGAGTTAATTTTTCTAACAGCGTTAGACTCCATGCCCCTGCTGTGATAACGGAATTGAAACACATGTCTCACTTTGTTAGATAATGAAACACATGCCCCTATCTGAAAATGGCTCAAACCACATATACGTTTTCTGTACTTTTCCCAAATAAATAATATACCCCGAACTTTGCCATCGTGTGAGCTCCCCACCCCATACTTGTTCTAGTTTAAAAATACCCTCAACTTTATTTAATTGAATTTTTTGTACCATATTTTAATTAACAAATAAGATCCTTGGTCATGACTTACCTATTTCTCAAATTAAAATATGCTAAATAGATCTAGATTCAGTGGTCAACGTGGAAAAGAAGTGCTACATGCATGCTTTATTGGATGGTTTAGTACGGCATGGGGCATAAGTATCTCAATTTTACAAAGTAGGAGATATTGATACAATGTGGACAAGTTTGGGGTGAGGATATCACACCTATGCAAAGTTTAGGGTATTTTATTTATTTTTCCCTAAAAGTTAATACCAATTTTCCATTTTGAAATTCTTCATCTTAACTGTCAATTAAATCTACTTTTGAAGAAGGGAGTTACCCACCTTACCCCACCGAAGGTGTGGGAGCCTTTGCGGCACTGGGGTAATGATGATGATGACGACGACTTCAAAGAAGGGAGTTAATTACACGTAATTTTTTATGCATAATATAGAATTCTCGTGTTTTTTTGCAAATTCTATGATATTCAGCGAGATTCTTAAGAGTATTATCCCTTTAAGCATCTCATGTATTACATGACAAACAAATGAAACACAGTGCAGGAAATGGAGACTCTTTGAATCTGGAACCAAAGAACACCGTAAAGGATGAAGGAAAAAATATGTCTGACAGAAAAACTTCTATCGAAACCATATGCTTCAATGTTTGAAGGAGGAAGTAATTGTTGGAAATTTTCAAATGAAAATAATCTGAAAAAACAAACAAGTATGTGCCTTTTCATTCAGTAATGCATAGAGTATAGATGGAAAAGGCATTACCTACTTTATGATCAAATAATGCCAAATCTCAGGTTATTGAAAGGTGACCTATGCCTAAGTCCGGCTTATCTGTCCTCTTACCTAGTTTTTTTTTATTGAAGATAAATTTACTTGACAACATGCACTGAATATGTTGAATGAAAATGAGTAGGGCTGGAAGTGCTTCTTTTGCTGAAGTTGCTACTTCCTAAGATGATCATTTTAGCCTTTTTCGTACTACCGGAAACCGTCTCTCTGTGCTTGAGTACAGGGGAGTAAGACTGCGTACATCCGACCCCCCCTTACCCCACCGTAGGTGCCTTTGCGGCACTGGGGTAAATGAAAATGATATGATGATATGTTAAATATATTTGGGAGTATTTTTTTAACATAACTAGGTAATTTCAGCAACTTCATCAACATCAGACAAATGTTGATGTTAGCCTTTTTCACATTACTTCACCAATTTCAGCAACTTTCAGCAACTTTTTAACATACGTAGATTTAGCCTTTTTCACACTACTTCACCAATTTCAGCAACTCTCAGCCAAATTCACAATTCTAAATAGGTACAATTTTCTATTGCTCTCTGCCTTTTAGTTAGTCCATTATAATGGAACTTATGCTATTAGGTTAGAAAAAATCAAACCTCAGCATGAAGCTTCTCCATTGCCATCCATTCTCCTGGACCACAGAGATCAGAAAGCACATTAGCTACAGATGACACAACATCCTTCTCCTCTAGTTGCAGCAATTGTTGGTTGTCGGCATCTCCTCTGTCAATGCGTAATCTTCCATCCATCTTCTTATCTGCACACCGATTTGAGGACCAAAAAAGCTTAATAACAACAAAACTAAAAACTTATCCCATAAAGCTGGTCATTAAGCAAAAAATGCTTATTAATAACTTCACATAAAATTCCATTGAAGTGGAATGTCATTTGTCACATTTCTGACAAAATGATCTCCATATAAGTTCAAGTAACAGCCCAGCATGCGAGAAAGAAAATCTCATATTTCAGATTAGTGCCAAGGGCACACATTGAAAAGCCTCAATGGAGGCAACATAGAAAATGATGAGCCAAGTGATTCACAAAAGTTCAGATGATAAGGAATTCACTTATTACTGAGAGATTCTTTTTCCAAAACAAGTCTCACTTTTGAGTACCAACTACCAAGACAATATTAATGACTCATTTTCTCAATTTTCCCTTCATATATCAAATCATCACAACATCAAGCATATCCATAAGGTGTTAATGAGGGGCAAAATAGTCATAACATAGTCACAACCAAGGTAATATTTAAGTGGGGGGTAATTGAAATTGAAAACAGTAGAAAGTATAAGATGTGAACATCTTGTCCATAAAACATATACTCCTTAGTTAACACCAGAAGCGCCGAGAAAAGGTGAAACAGAGGTATGTAAAAACACAAAAAACAGAAAAACAGAGGGACCTAATTGGAATGAGACTCAATAACTCATGGCAAAGATTGTGTGTAAAAATAGCTCCTTTGAACATCCGCATATTTAAAAAATTATAGCATGCATCAAGCTACCATTTTGTAGACTTGTTGAGTGAACCAAAAAAGATAACAAGTTTTGCAAGCCATAAACAAGAGGGTCATATAGCCATAAAACCACATTTTACAAGTCATTAACAATTAGAGTTTCACAGCATCATGTCTCACCTATTACAACCTTCCCCCCAGAGCCACTTGATCCATAGCCATAGCCACCCACATCAAAGCTATCACCCCTTCTCGGTTTCTTATTAGCTTCAGGGCCATCTTCACCCACCTCATCCTCATAGCCCTCTTCATAATACTCTTTCCCTCTAGGTAATCCCTTCCTTCCGACCCCAGCAGCGTAGGCATTCACCAAAGGGGGAGGCAGGAGTTGCTGCGGCTGGGGATGGTGATGTGACGGCATCCCTGCAGCAGCCGCAGCAGCTGCCGGATAATTAGAAGGTACATGATGTCTAGGACCAATTGGACCACCAAGTATGCTTCGAACAGGAAGGAGGAAGTAGAACTCTTTGTCCCCAATTTGGAGAAGGTCCTGAGAATCGAGCTTGACGGGAGGGTTATCAGGGAGGTGAAGAACTCCCTCGACAAAGCATCCGTTCTTACCTAGAACCTCAAGAGCGAAACGGCGGCGCTGGAAGTCGTAAAAGATGCGGGCGTGGTGGCGCGAGATGTTCATCCCGCCGCCGAGGGAGGACAGGTCAACGTCCACCGTCGACTTCTTGGAGTTACGGCCGAGGATTATGGAGTAGGTCTGCATGTAATACTCGAAATCCTCGCCCTGAAGCTTCGCGAACCCCGCTTCCACATCGCTACCGCCGCTGCTTCCCATCTCGAAACTATCCGCAGACACTTCTACAGAGAGAACAGAGAGTAGACGTGGTGCACATATACAGGCATTCAAACCCGAAACCTTCCGGCGATTACAGAATTCTGATAGAAGACATTGCGAATTTCGGATTCTTCAAAGCTAGAATCGGAGGGCATCCGGTTGAACAGTCGCATTGAAATTGGGATGAAAAAGATTTCGATTTTGGGGTTGGATCACAGTTACTGTTTTTTAACTATTTTTTCATATTTTTTTCTTCATTTTAACTATTTTTTCATATCTTTTTTCTTCATTTTATTAATAAAATATACTTTAAATGTTTTTTTTCATAAATCAACACAATTAATCAATACAACCAATTCAGCCAAAACTTCATAAATTTTAACAGAATCAGCTGATTCAACCGATTTCAATGTTACCAAACAGACTCTAAATCTTACGGTTTCTTTTTCACGTTTATCAATATACACTATTAACCATTAATATATTTAATTCTCTATAAGTAACAAAAATAAAAATAAAAATCAGATATTGAAAGATTTATGAAAAGGCAAATGTAGCTACGTCTTTCAAAAATAGATTTATAGTACACTAATATATGTATCATAAAATTAAGAATATATGAATAGTGTAAAATTCAACGATACTTCAATTATTTAACAACGGAAATAGAATACACTATTAAACATATGATGATTAAATATACCATTGTGAGTCCGCCACCAACAACATCATCATCATGAACAACAACACCATAATATTAATTGTAATAATAATCCAAACAATAATACTAAAATAAGTGATGAAAATAGTGATGGTGGGAAACAAGTCTAGTTTGTAGACTTCTGAATTGTTTATATTAGTCAGTTTTTGAACCCTCAATCGAAGTATCTTCAAGACTAATGCTCTTTGTTACTTTGTCCAATAATGACTAAATCAATTGAATTCTTGAAGACCGGTAAATTATAAATTAAGTAATTAACTTTGCTTTGTCAATGTGCTAGTGCTATTACTGCTATAACAAACTGGAATTGTCTCGTTATTATTGAATTGATAAAGTGCGAATAAAGTAAGAATAAATTGTAACCACTCATATATTATCAAATATGCTATGAGACAAATTTAATGAGATGAATGAAAAAAGTAAAACGGGACAAAGTTAGGGAGATGGAGGGAGTATACGTTAGTTGAGTATCAAATTTGTTTACTCCAACTATATTACTCCGTATTTAATTTAATTTTGCCAACTTTGAAGGAACTCAGATGCAATCCCTCAACTGCGTAATTGTAGTGACTTAAAATTTGACAAATGATAAATTAATTTATTTTTTTAATAAAGGGCCGGTTTCGATGGACTGAAGCACAAGGCCCCACTATTCTTAGAGCGTATAACGCTAGAATTTCAAACTGGGTTTGTCCCACTTTTAGGCGTGCCCGAGCCAGAGGGGTAAGGCCGGGATGGTGTTCGGATGAGGTGTGAGAAAAACTCGTCCGCCACTGGTCTTCAGATCCGAACTTCTTGGCTAGAAGCGAAGCCGGGAACAAAAACCGGATGTCCGAGGAGGCATTACAGACACAATGGCACGGGAGCCGCAAACCTCAGAGTAAACATAAGGAAGCTCTTGTAAGTCTTATTCAAATAAACCTTACACCATTTTAACCCTTCATTTTTTGCATTTATTTATGGATTTTAAGTCTTTTTCGAACCATGTAGGTGGGGCCTGAGAAGAAGAAGGTCTCAATCCTCAAGGTCATCAAACACTGTTGGACGAAGCACGGCGATGTGTCGGAAGCCGATCTGCCAACCCGCCTCGCCGAAATCGAAGTAACATCATTTTTTTTACTTCAATTTTGTTATTTAGTAACATTTCAAATCGAAGTAAATAACATTTCAATAATTTTTGTACATGTAGACGAAGTATAACACACATGTTGAGAAGAAGCGGGCGGAATTAGGCTTGCTCCACGAGGATGAGATCGATTCTGATGTGGAAGATGATGCGATCTTGGAGGCAGTTGGGGTGTACAAGGGTCGGCTTCTGTGCATGGGGGCTGAGGGGCAACGGATTTTGTATGACCGCAGCTGCAGCGGAGCTTCATCTTCTCGATCAAGGCGGGGAGAGGATCCACGCATCACCCAAATGCAGTGAGAATTGGAGGAGCAGCATCGGGCATTAGAGGAGCAACGGAAGGAGGAAGAAACAAGAGCCCGGCTGGAAGCGATGGAACAGATCTTAAACGTCGGATATCGACCTCCGCCTCAGCCTCATCCTCGGCTGCACATGGGTAATATGGGTTATCATTCTAACTCCGGATATGGTAGCATGCTTACGATGGGGTCGACATTCGGATCTCTGTCGTATGATTTCTTGAATCAATTTCAGTCAGCCGGAGGAGCCAGTCGAGGAGGCAGCCGAGGAGGTACCCGTTCCGAAGACCCCGTGGCATCCGAAGAGGATGATTATCTTGTTTATGATGATAATGATGCATATGATAATGACGATCCTAGTTTTGATCATAATGGAGTCCGACGGTCGGGCATGTAATAATACATTTTTTAAGTTTAACATTTCATATTACTTTTATAATTCCAGTCGGTAATAACTTTTATTAAGTTTGTTGTATGTGTATGAATTTTGTTTTTTATTTAATGTTATAATTGTTTTACTTTTTAAAATATAATCTTTTTCTTGATAAATTACAAAAATAATTTTAACAACTTTTTTTTAAGAAAAATTAAAACAATTTTTTAATTTTTTTTTAAAATGGAAAAACTTTTTTATTGAAAAACAAAAAATTTAGTCACGGATCTGTTCCGTGACTAATATTTTGTCCGGAATTCTTTTATAAATTTAATTTTTTTTAAAAAAAAAATAGTCACGGATTCATGTCCGTGACTAATACAAAATTTAAAAATTTGAACCGCGGGTTTTTGAAAATTTGAAAATTTGAAAACTTAGTCACGGATCGTTCCATGACTAATATGGCCGAATTTTAAAAACAAAAATAAACTTAGTCACGAACGTGTCCGTGACTAAGATAAAAAAATTTAAATAAAACGTAGTCACGGATCTTATCCGTGACTAAGGTGCCGGAGTAGCTATTCCGGTGAAGAATTAGTCATGGATCGGGTCCGTGACTAATCCGTGACTACATTGAGTCACGAATAATTTTTAGTGACTAAATCTATTCACGCCAAATTAGTCACGCATTTAGTCACGGACCTGATCCGTGACTAACATAGTTAGTCACAGACTTTTTACACTGCGGTCCGTGACTAAATCCGTGACTACAAGCGTGTTTTTTTGTAGTGAGACAAAGGTCTTCGTCTCTATATTTGGGTTGTGGCAATTGAGGTGTGTTTTCTTCTCAACATTTTCTTTTCTCGGGTTTGTTTTTTTCGTTTTTCATCCTGCCGAAGAGTCTGCTCTAGCCGATAGTTCGTCACATTTCCTTGTGAACTTTTTTTGTTTTGATTGTGCATTATGCTTCTCAATTTATTTATAACGTGGTTATTCCTTTGAGTGATTTTCTGTTCATTGCTATTGATGGAGAATATAACTCATGCATATGAGAGAATGTCTATTGATGTAGAGGAAACCAGTGGGCTCGTGTTAGAAGTTGGTCCTCTATATGTTGACGGGGGACAGAGGAAGAAGTCCCACGATTTTCTATCGCTACTACAGTTATTACGGATAAATCCGTCCAAACTATTCTTCGAGAGATGATGACAATGGTCGAAGAGCATTCAGAAAGGGAGATAAGCATATAAAAAATGGTCAAATGCGCTTTTTTATTCAATTTTATCACGAGAGTGGCATCTCTCGAGTGCTTCAGAATGACCCGTGGTCCTTTGAACAGAACTTGATGGTTACCAAGCGAGTCGAAGCGGACCACCAAGAGGAGAAGCATTATGAGATTTGCCTGGAACGACAAACACTTTAATGGGTGTGATGTTACTCAAACACACTAACCGAAAAACATATTGGTTACGGACTAAATTGCTAATTTGAAAAGTCTTAACAAGTTTGAGGATCTAATTGAGTGTTTTTAAAGTACGGTGACCTAATTGACCTTTTTGACATAGGCTATGTTTGGCAAACATAAGTCTCTGCCTTCTAGCTTTTGTAATGTTCAAAAAGTCTCTAAAAGCTTCTAGTTATATGTTTGGCATGACAATTTTTAAGAGCTTTTAAAAAATTAAAAGATCTTTTTTGAGATGCTACATGGAGTAGCATCTGAAAAAAGCCCGTGACTTTTAGTATTAATTAGTCCTAACAGCTGATATACCAAATCGAACTAAATCAAACAGTCAGCTTTTTACCAAACAGCTATCACATTTTCTTTTTAAGATCTTTTCAGTCACTAAGGGGCTGAAACTCACTCACTCCATTGAATTTCAACCCCTTATGTGTGTAGCGGGTTTCGAACTCGAGACCTCTCACTAGACACGATAACTCACAACCAGCTGGGGTGGAATACTTGGTTATCTTTTGAGTCACTAAAAACTAACAGTTATTAAAAAGCTCACAAAAGTATCTTTTCAGCTAATTGTGCCAAACATACCCATAATAAAAGGACTTATTTGAGAATTTTTCCTATTTTATTGTTTTAGTATTCTTGCAATAGAGAAATGCAAAACAAGTCACCTGAACGTTTACAAAAAATAGCTCTCCTAATACAACGAAAAATAGAATACATACCCGCACGGGTAGCTCAGTTGGTTCAGTGGTGGGAAATTTGGACCAAGTGACCAAGGTTCGAAACCCGCAGCGGTCGTGTGGAGGTCACAGAACCTGAAATAAGGCTGAGCCTCTGGTGCGCACGGGAAAAAGGCCTACCATCATTGGGCCGACTGAGTCACCGTGATTAACATCCTCCCAAAAATCCTGTCGGGTCGGGGTATGGGGGACTCCTGGGGTGGGAGATTCCACCTTTTTGGACCAAAAATAGAATACATAAACACGTAAAGTAAATAAAAATAAGAAGACCAAAATAACAATAAAGATTATGAGAAGGATATAAGTAAAGAGAGAAAGCCTATTGGGAGAAAAAAGAATAATCATGTACGAAACTGTTTTTGTGGAAACATCATTGAAATGTGAATTTATTTATTTGTGATTTTTCAAAGAATTTTTTTTGCAATAGATTATCAACCGGTCAAGATCAACAAAACAAGATATTCAGATGTGGAATTATTTGTGAGACCATGCTTTCATGTAATTATTACTCCCTCCGTCACTTAAAACTTTGCCAACTTTCCTTTTTTGGACGTCCCACTAACTTTGACACTATTCTTTTAAGTAAAGAATTTGTGGTTCCGGTTAATTCTCTCTCTTATGCACAAACCTCAACCACATAGTTTTTATTTTATTTATTCTCATGTCGGTCAAATGAAGTTTTAAGTGAGGGAGGTATATTACGTACTCCATAGTATTATTTGGAGAGTGAGAGATCATTGCTCTCATAATTGCAGCGGAACTGTATAAGCTTTGGTTTAGTGTACTAATGCTATCAATAAGACACGAACTTGTATGCACTGTCGCGCTGAGGTTAGTGCTAATTCGTCTTCTTCTTCGTTCCGTCCCTCTCTCCCTTCAATTAATCTCTCCGTGTTTCTGGCTATCCAGTAATCCTACGCAGTCCACCTGAAACTCTGAAGCAACTGAGCGAGCTGAACTGGAGGGAGGAATCTATTTGAGCTGATATTTTGGATCTAAAATTCCAGAAACCTTTTGCCTATTATTTTTAATTAAAAGAAAACGTAAAACTGCTGCCTGAGAATGAGGGTTTTGCGAGATTCGTGGTGTTTCTGCAACGGTGGAGGGAAGTCAGAGCGAATGAAGGCTTCCATTCTATCAAGCAAAGGTCCGGCAATGGCTAAAATAGCCTCCGGCAACGGTGACGGTACCGGTTTTTTGATTCACCGCAATCTTCTCCTCACTGCCCACGTCAACCTCCCTTCCGCCCCTGCAGCCGAGGCCGCCGAGATCCGCATCCAAAACGGCGCAGCTGCTTGCCTCTTCCCTCACAGGTGAGCTCAGTTGAATGCATCACCTAGCATGCATCCCGTTATTAGGTATTTAGGTTAAAAGCGAGCAATCCGTTTACTGATGCTAATAAGTGATCATGTTAGCCATGCTTATCACCTCGTGCTTACTAAAGCTTAAAAGCGAGCCGGTTTACAAATGCATCAAATGTTCGTCATCAATATTAAAATTTACTATCCAAAATCTGGTGGATATTAGGAAAGTCGCTGCAACATGTAAATAATGGAAATAATGTAATGCCTAATTGGTATGCTATCTGAGAATTGCCTTCTCAAGTTTGCTTTTCCCTGTCAATAATGTTATGAATTATAATAAGTGTCCCTGAATCTAGCTTGTTCAATTGCATTTATTGACCCTTAATTCATTCTAATTCAAGGCTGGTATTATGAGTTTAATAATTAGATATAGATGTGTGCTTTACAAATAGATACACTGGTAGGTTGTAAAACTGTTTTGTGAAGCTAAGTTTACCCCCAAAAAGCATGACATGTGTGGTTCCATTTATTTGTTGAAATGATCAGAATCATGTTGCTTGCTTCATTGAGATTCAATATCGCAGAATCTCCCAGTGTCATTCTTCTCAAACAGATACTATAAAAGAACTACGGAGTATTAGTTAAGTTCACAATGCTCACTTCTTCCTCTTTCTTGAACTCTATCTTAGTATGAGCATTTCTGGTGCTTATTTTACTGTTGTGTGTTTCGCATCGCAAAATCTTATACATACCTATATTCTACGGATCATGGTCGAATCTAGTACTTCACCTTCGAGTTACTACACGGACGATCCAGATTGATTTAGTGTAACTTCTCCCATCTTTCAAATTGATTTCGTGTAATCACCACATATGTAGTAATTCCATGGTAGAGTTATAGCAGAGGATCCATTTCCTTACCCCAACCTATTCCACTTAGGTGCAATGCGGTAAAAATCAGCTGACCTTGACTCCATTAGATTTGTTCACTCCTAGACCAGTTATTAACCATGCCATATGTGCACGATGGGCACCTAGTGTGGTCAACAACATTGCTTAGGCTATGCTTGGAACTACTTGGGAAACAGGAAATGGTTGGCAAGGGAGGGGAAACACAAGAGTAATTTTTTTAATGTTTGGATTTGCCTAGGAAGTTATGATTGGAAACCAAATACGGAGTATAATTTAGAAATTATGAAATTTAAATTATTATAGATTTCTTAGTCTTCACATGATAGAAATATTTAAATAAACAAGTTTGAAATAAAATATGGAGCATCTGGTGTGAATAAATTATATCATCTAAACTCCGATTTTATATGCCAATTCATGTTACCCGACCCCAAACTCTTTTGAGTGGATGAGGTTGGTGTTGTAATATATCATATGCTTCCTACTTCAATAATTTCTCCTATCATGTTCCATTGCAGATTTTTTATAACCAGCACAATACTTGATCTGAGTATAGTGGGACTTGATTCCATTGATGGAGATGCAACCAGGCAGCCTCATTTCCTGAAAACCTGTTCTAAATCAAACCTTGACCTAGGCAGCTTAGTTTACTTGCTGGGCTACAACAATGATAAAAGCGAGCTAACGATAGGTGAAGGGAAGGTTGTAATAGCCACTGACAATCTAATAAAGTTGTGCACAGATGGTGTCACATGGGCCCCAGGTTCAGCCGGTTTTGATGCTCAGGGAAATCTTGCATTCATGGTGTGTGATCCTATGAAGCTAGCCACATCATCTCCAAACTCAAAGTCATCTTCTATGACATCATCATCATCGTGGAGGAACAAGGATAATAATACTTGTAATATGCAATTTGGTATACCAATCCCGATTATATGTGACTGGTTAAACCAACACTGGGAGGGAAGCCTTGATGAACTCAATAAACCCAAGTTGCCACTGATGAGATTGGTGGTGTCAGGTGGTGGTGGGGGCAACCAAAAGAGTGATCATTCATGCCCTTCATTCACGATGAGGCGAGTATTCAAAGGTGATGAGATAGAAGGAACCCCTACATCCTCAAACACACCACCATTGCTGAGACCTAATAAAGAATTGCCCGTCGGTCCAAGCTGTTCTGCTGCAGATCAACATGTACAGGGAATCCCGACTCCTGAGATTTTTGAGTCACCAAAGGTCCAAACGCATCAGCTCTTGGACATAAATTTCCCATCAAAGGTATGTTTGGATACATAAAATGCTCAGAAAAAATGCGTTGGAAAGTTATGTACTACTCCGTATTATTTTATTATGTTTGGTTTTACCTGAAAAAGGCATTATGGAAAATAGTGTGTAGTTTTCTTAAAATTGATCTTACCTATATTTAGATTTCTTACTAGTTAAATATTAGACATAGATAAAACAAGTATCAACAGTTATCTAAAATAAATTAGTTGATTCTTTAGTCCTAGAGCCCGTTTGGTACAAGCTATTTGGTTGAATCTGCTGAACTTTAAAAAAGAATAAGCTTTTGGTAAATTCGATTTCAACTCTATTTATTCTGCTTATTAATAATCCAATATATTTTATTTTTTTGATTTACCACACACATTTTCTTCCCTTCTAATTTTCCTACATGTCATTTTACCAGTATTCTCCAGGTCTGAAACGGGCCCCAAAGGATTCAAAAATAACTGCTGCCTTTCCACAATCTGCAAGAAAAAGGCCTTCTCACTGCTATGAAGAAGTTTGTGGAGAAAAGTCCAGTGATGGCCCCGAAGCCGAAATAGCTTCAACTGGATCCATAAATGGGCCACAAAGTGAGGTACAAAGTTCATCTCCAGTTGAGGCATCAGATATGCAGCAACAACAACACGAAGATTACTACAGCAGCGAGGGAGAGACAACCACAATGTACTCGGCAGAAACCGCAGAAAGCCGTAATATTCCAAGAAGTAGTGATCCTCCTGTCAGAGGAGGAGGAGGGAAGGAGGTGGGGAGGAGCCAGAGTTGCATGAGTTACACCAACAGATGGGGGACAGCTATGGTCCCAACAGCACATAGGACAACATCAACTCCCTCAGAGAAGGGCAGGAAGGTCCATTCTCACGGAGCAACAACCTCACATAGAAGCAATGACTTTTTCAGCCCTACAGTTTCTTCCATCATGAAAAAACGTAACAACCCTGAGGTGAGACCAAAGCCGACGCCCAACAGGATACCACGTCACAGCCCAATAAATCCATCTTCGCCTAGGTGGATGTTCTGACGACGATCTAACCGCTGACAGCCAGACTCAACTCTTTTCTCATATGCTCTCATTTTTGGCTCTTTTTCCCACATTGTAACTAATTTCGTGGTGATGAGGGACAGCATCATATCAAAGAACTGCTGCTCCATATTATAATCTATAAGTAATACTCTAATAATTTTGTGTCTGCTATATTTCAGTTATACCACAGAAAATTTAACAGGGGTAGACAACTCAGCTTTCTGTTTTTCTTTTCAGTTTTCAGTTCAGTTGATGAGTTAGAAGAATCATTACCAATTAAAACAAACTGTATTTGGTTTGATTTGATTTAGTTTTTTTTTTAATTTGTGAAGGTTTATCATATTGTTAATACGGCTTGGTATTATTCGAATTTAGTTCAATTCAGATTAATATAGTTTGAAAAAACATTATCAAACTAAACCTGAATAGAACATTGTTTGGTTCTGGCACAGGATCAATTTGGTCCAGTCAACCCAAACCAAAATGCCCAAATCCCTGCTAATTAATATGGACACGTCAATGATATTACTTATTAGCTATTGTGATTAGGAATAGAGTGACTACATGCTAATTGTTGGTGTTTGATTTAATCGTATCTTGTTGTATTTTATCCGTTTTAAGTTCTTTTTTATCTCGTTGAAAAGATCATATAAAGTTCTAAGAGTCGTATTCAGGTTTCATTTATAAAATTTTGTGGCATATATACATATTATACTGAAACTAAAAAGCGTCGAGTTGACTGCAAACAGGCGTGATGTATGATTTGACTATATATTGCAGTATTTTGTTTCGTTTTAAGCCTTTTTAATTTCGTTGTAAAGATCATATAAATTTATGAAACTCGTATTCTAACTTCATTTACAAACTATTACGAGGTCAATACTTTTACACTGATTTGAAAACAACTCTATTTACTCCAAATAGACTCTTCATCACAAGTGAACAAATGGTACACTTAAAAAAAAATAAGACCTGGTTTGTTTGTCTATAATTATAAAAAAATAAAGTATCTCGAAGATGGCATGTCATATGCAGCTTGAAATTACTCTCAACAATTGTTAAACACGCATGCACAAAGGGTCTATGATACAATGCAAAAACATTTGAACTTGAAACACTCTTTGAAGGCGGCAAGGATGAAAGGGGATGGCACATAAACAGAAATAGGATTCTCTAAATCGTGATATTGAAATTATTCCAGAATGATTGCTAAATGCGAAGTTATCAAACAATACAATCTTGAAAATGATGATAGACTAATCAACTTTTTTACTAATTTCACATACCATGTTATATTTGTAATAATAATACAGAGTATATAAAAATACATGTCATCACTTGCATTATTTAAGAGTAAGTGTGCATTATAATGATTATGATCTGATGGTGCATAAGAGGTGATTATTGTGTTTAAAGAATTCAATGATAAATATACCATTGATACCATTCATAACCTATACTGTATATTCTAATAGAAATAATATTAATTGGGTATTATTTGATTGATAATGTGTTTTATTTTTTGTTTTGATAGTGCAAGTAATAATAATATTGATAAATTGTCAAGAACCGTTTATAATAATAAAAAAGTGCAACTAATAATATGGTTATAATATCTAAATTACATTAAGAGTGTGGTCCTTCTACTAATATAGGTAGATTTTCTTCATCGTGTAGATTTTCTAAATTGCATTAACTGTGTGGTCCTTCTACTAATATAGTTATAATGTGCATGTCATATTTTAAAAGGCGTAACGCCGAAATTTGTTGAATCGTCTGAATCTACTGAAATTACTGAAATTCTAGCAAAAGTGATTGAATTGGCTGAATCTGTTCGAATTATGAAAAATTATACTACGTAATATTTTTTTATTAAGAAAATAAGGAATAAATTGTTGAAAAATACGGAGTAGTTAAAATAGTCTATTTTGGAAATTTTAGTCAGAAAAGTAGTCTCACCCTTATTTATTTAGATTATTACACTATTCAACGCACGAATTTAAAAATTATTGATTTGATAAAAAGTTGGCTGATAGCATGAAAATATGTGCTACTAGACGAACTCATTTGTATGTCCAAGACCGTTCACTGCATCGGGTTAAGTAATAGGAAATGTTAAGGGTCATATTAAATTTATGTATGGTATAGTAGTAATATAACTAAACTACATTTCTTCATGTGTTAAATATTGTGCCTTTCCCAAAGAATTATCTATGCATTGGAATAGACGAATAGTACTTATGAATTAAGTTAGGTGATTCTTAGATTTAAAAATGAGTTGTTTGCGTTTTTGAAAAAATAATAATCGTGGACAAATTAGAGAGCCGTTGAAAATTGATACTGTTGAAAAAATTGCTAACAATTTCATATATTTTTCAAAACGTTACTATATCTTTTTCTTATATTTAGCAACCTAATAATAACATGTTTTTTAATGTCCAACATGTTCATCACTTTGTGATCACGTGAAGGAATTAAAAGTTTTTTTAGTGTTTTTTTTACTGAAAACTTTCTAAATAATTTATTTCATACTTTATTAATCTAAACAATCGTTAGCCAACTGGCTTACAATGTAATCAGGTGGAAACATATAGCTATTCATACAACCTGGTCTAGAAACAGTTGCCCTAGCTAACATATGAGCAACACGATTCGTAGGTCTTCTACACCATTTGATTATAAAATTATCAGACTCACATAACATCTGTTTAATATTATCAATAATGATATCAACGTAAGTGAACACAGATTTATCTAGTACACCACCAAGGCTGTGTCAGTCTCAATTTCAACTTTTGCCCACCCTGTCTCCTTAGCCCAACTAAATGTTTTTTTAGTGTTAGAAATTTAAAGTTTTTAAAAAATTGTGCTTTTATTCTCTTTATTTAAAACTTTCTAGTTATGAAGCTTTTTCAGGGTAGTTGTTTCTGATGGATAAGTGTACCCGGGGGGTAGCTTATCCGAGGGGTTATTACGGGGATTAACAAGAGAGAGGTCAGAGCAAGTAAGTATAGAGAGAGAAAGTATATTAGCAAGTATTCAGCGTGTTGTGTCTTCGTTACAAATGGGGAGATGAGGTGCTATTTATAGTAGCAATAAATGCCGGACAGGGATACGTGTCAAGCGTCCATTGGCCGAGGGGTCACCTCAACTGGTTGGCGCTGGCAAATGCATGTGGCCGCATTTAATGCGGCTGTTGGATGGGACGTTGTACAGGGTACGGTGATCCATACGCATGTGGAGCGGATATTGTGTCGGAAAAGGCGCCCTCGACAGTAGATGACTAGCCGAGGGCTCTGAGTACCGGGGACCCCCTTAGTGCCGAGGGCTCCAGTTGCCGAGGGCTACTGATTTTCGCCGTTTTTCCCAGTAACTTTGTTTTCCTGTCTTGGCCCTCCTGTGAGAGTTAGAGCCTTCGGCCAGGGGGCCGAAGGCACCCCTGGTGTGCTTTGTGGGCTGCTTGGTACTCTGGGCACTATGATTTGGGCCTATTGTGATTTCTGGGCCTATTGTGATTTCTGGGCCTGTTGGGCCTTTATTGGAGTAGTAGGAGTCTGTGGGCCGGGGGTTCCCGGGCCATATACTCCATCAGTTTCAATTGTGAACAAGGGTTTAATCACTAGACCTTTTCGTAATATATAAATTAGAAATAATTACACATATATCACTAAAATTAATATAATTTACAAAAATGCGATCTCATAGGTGTAATGATATAGTGGTAACTTAATCATAGTAATGTGTGTTCAACTTTTACACTTAAGTTACTATTACTTTATACTATAGTAACTTTTGGTCATATTTTTGTAATCAAGTATCGTTTCAGTAATATTTTTGAAAAAATATCTATAAATTATGCACATTAGTCTCTTGTGCTTTATAAAATGCTTCAGATTCCCTTCATGTTATAATTAATCATGCGCAAAATCCCCTCTAAGAATAAACCTAATAGCTAAATAAAAGCTAAAGTTTTAGTATTTTGTATAATTCAAATATTTTGACAAATTCACTTGCATATTCAATCATACTACTAAAATAAATGATTTCCAAGTTATTACATTTATTCTTGGAGGGACTTTTGGCTTTTGCACATGATTAATCACAACACAAGGGAGTTTGGTGCGTTTTTAAATCAAAAGAGAGCTAATGCACATAATTTATCTATCACGGGGGTTTGTCATTTTGTTGCATTAAAATCGTGTGAACAATGAAGATAACTCTATACTTGATTAATGAGCATTCTTTGTATTAACGTTTTTTGTGAGTACGAAAAGGATGATCACTTTGATACATTTTTATTTTGTACTATGCACTGTTTTGTTTTTAAATCTACTAGAAATATTTACAAAAAATTAAATCACTTTTTAAATCACTTTGATCAATTTCGAAACTACTTTACTTACAAAAAAAGTTACTGTCAATTACATAAATCTACTAGAAATATTTAAATTTGTCCTTTTATATTTCTTTTTAAGCTAATATGAGAGTTAAAACAATGCAAAACTAAGCATTCATATTTTAAAAATATATTAAAAAAACTTCTAAAAATAAAATTAAATACTTTTTGAATAACAAGATAAAGAATTAGAGGGAATCTATTAATTGGGGTTATTTTGAGGTCAAACGGAGGTTGTTATGATCAATGATGGACTAAAAAGAAAACAAACATAAATTACAGGGATGAAAAACAAAAAAATAATTTTGCAGGGATGTAAAACAAAATGTACTATATATGCAGGGACTAAAAGCATATTTAAACCAAATTAATAAATCAAACATCATTACAACAAATTCAAGATAATTACACCCTCAATTCAAACCCAATGATTAGACTTAGTTTTTGTCACCCGCAAATGAACCGCAAAACTCACTAATCATGTAACAGATAAATGAAGGCTTAATTTGATCATGCCGATCTCTATGCTTCTAACTTAAAATGAAAAACCTACAATTTTATCTAAAAAATTTAAAACGAATGAATAACAAATAATAAGAAGTGCATAAATTAGCAAAATTGTAAATGGGATTGAAATTAGTTTGAAACTAGTCATCCTGATTTTATAGACCTGTAGATATGTCGCGCCCGACAAAACATCAATGGCTTTTATTCCAATATAAACCACACATGTCTAATAAAATATAGAATCATTCTTCCGATCAATAGTGGTGGTTTGAAAAAGAGGAACAAGCCATCAATAGCGCCATAGACGATTTGAAAAAAAGACGACCTTTGAGAAAAGTAGATATATGTTTGGTCATCTGGAAGAGTGTCTTCAATAAGAATTAGACAATAATATTTTTTTTACGCGATTGTAATCCAAATAACTCGAAGGTTCTTCGAGGTAGAGGCCATAG